TGAAAAACAAATCTGTTTTAGCTCTCTCCTAGCTGATATTTTTTTGTTTGTTTTTACCAGCATAAGTAACTGAAAAGGGACAAATTATCTTTGAAGTGCAAATAGACTCTAAGCGGGCCAGAAGTCTCTAGTTAAACAGTTGAGAGGCCAGTCGAAAACACAACACTAAGTAAAAACATATGGCCGCTGGCTTTTAAGTTAAAACTGTGGGAGTTTCAAAATTGAATAGTTTCTTGGAATAAAGTAAGTGCTACCAATTAATTGGAAAGCAACTGTTTTACAAGAAGCCTCCTGGTTTGGTGTTTACTGTTTGAGTTTCAAAATGCTTATTTATTTATACTACTTGTCAGCCCTGCGGTTGCAGGCCTTTTCTGGCTTGTCACCATCAGATCTTGTGAGGCGCTGTCACAGGGAGGCCTGGAGGACGCTTGTTCTCGGCAGGGCCCCCAGGAAGTGAGGCCCCTTTGCTCTCTGAGATGTGCTCCCAATAATGGCAGATGCTGGGTTTCCTACAACTTTTTACTTGTGTATCAGTTACCTCCCTAAGCCATAAACACTTGCAGGCAGAGACTGTTCCCAGTACCTAACAGCCTCTGGTCCAGTGTCAGGGCTCGATACGTATTTGTGAAAAAGAGGAAGAAATTCAATTCTCTGTTCTCTTTAAGGGTTTATGCTCACGAGGTTTGGTGCAGTGTGCATATGATGCTACTTTTTCCTCAGTGTTTCTATTAAATTGCAAATTTTAATTTTCCTTGAAATATGTGAACTTTAAAATGTCAGGGACTATTTACAATATAATTCCTATTTCTCCAAGTAAGATCTCTTTCTCCTTCAAAGTCTGGCTCGCTTTGGGTGACATCCAGTGGGAGAGGGACATAATTCTCATCACACAGATGTGGACCACCGGTGGCCTGAGTGGCAGACCGAGGACTGCCGAGCCAGAGAGCTTTGAGGGCCTCTGTAGGCACACGTCCTGAGGGCCAGATTCCCTGCAGACCAGGCAGCGCCATTCGTCAGCTGTGTGCAGTGACTTCCTCTCCGGCGCATCACTGTCTAATGAAATTGCCCCGCACCGTGGTGCCGCCTGCAGAGCTCCGTCCTTGCCCCGCCCCTCTAGTCTCTGCTCCCCGTTCCCCATTCCTGTATCTGCTGGACTGTGATGTGGGTTATTCTCCCATTGGCAACATGTTGCTGTATAACCTCTTTTATTTTCCTCTTCTAAATTTCAATAAAGAGAATTTGATCGAAGTTTATAGAAGGAAAAATAGTCATACCCCTTTTGACTAGCTGGAGCCATCTAAGTAAGAGATGCCCAGAGACAGACTAAGAAATTGTGCTGGTGTAGTGAGTGTAGGAGAGGCTACAAAGACTTAGAGACTTGGTTGTCTTAAAACCCTGGCACTCTGTTTGTATCTTGGACAGTCAAGTAGGGAATAAATACCAAAAGCGGCATTCTTTTTTTTTTTTTTTCCATCCTCACCCAAGCACATGCTTATTGATTTCTTAGAGAGAGGAGAAGGGAGGAAGAGAGGGTGGGAGAGAAACATCAGTGTGAGAGAGAAACATCAGTTGGTTGCCTTTTCATATGTGCCCTGATCAGGGATAGAACCTGCAACCTAGGCATGTGCCCTTACCAGGAATCGAACCCAGAACCTTTTAGCTTATGGGACTGCGCTCCAACCAATTGAGCCATATTGGCCAGGGCCCAAAGGGACATTCTTTTCAAGGTTTCTATATATAATTCATGGAAAAATAAAACTGAGAAGGGAAATGATACAGTTTGGTGAGAAGGACACATACTGAATTTATTTTAAAATTATTAAGTATAATTTTTAGATCTAATGATTATTTTATTTGAATTCTAGGTATGGCAAAGAATCTTTTGTTTCCCCACTTAAAAAAAAAAGAAGAAAAGGAAAAGCCTGTGTACTTTACTCCACTTAAACACACTTGAGTCTTTTCAAACCAGTTGGCCTTAGATTGCTAATAGCGGCAGAACCAAATGTTCTCTCTTCTAAGGGGTGAAATCATATCATTGAAATGATCATGTGATGGTAATTTTTCAAACCATAACAAGCAGCTTCATCAAACACGTATCATGAATAATCTCTCCTTGCAATGTTGTATCCACAAGAGAAATGCTGTATGGTAGAATGAGATTTTAATGATGACTGATTGTAAATGTATATGTACAGAGAAGACATTATTCATCTTTTAAGATTGAGTTACTGTTTGCTTTGTGTTAAATTCCTATGACTGGTGGCATTTTGGGGGTATGCATTGATTTGTTTAATTGCCCGGTTCCCAGGCCCCAGCCTTTTGGTATCTGACCTGCTTCATTGCGGTTCCTGAAACACTGGGTATCCTGGGTCCAGTTTCCCTTATAAATAAATAGAAGCTGAGGCCCATGCCTTTATATAATCTTTCCTGAGGGGGGAATAAAAGGCAAAAGTCAGATATTTTTATTCTCTACTTGGAGATAATTTAGTAGTCAGGTTGTCAAAGGCAACCTGGGCAGAAGGATCATCAGGCCTTATAAATAGTTTCATTAGGGATATGGATTTCTTTCTCTCTGTCTCGCTGCTTTTGGTTGCCCTCTGGGCATCGTTGCTGCAAGTTGTGCCTGGAAGATGGAAGAGAAGAGCATCTCCCATGATCTGCTATGGCTCCAGAGCCAGCCCCTGTTCATCTCAGTAACACTTTTGGTTCCAGCCCAGGTCATGTTCTATGGGTCACCTGGCTCCCAGTGGGAAGTTCCTTCCACTTTTCTCTCAACTGATGACTTTGCCTCATACTCTGTTGAAATTCTTCCTTCTACCAAATACGCTGGTATCTTTACCCGTATTCTGTTATATCTTCTGTACCCATCACCTGGCACAGTGGAAAGTTTCCCTCCAGATAAACAAAAAAACAAACTCATTGGTCTCATCCTGCTGCATTTACTATCTTTTTTTCTTCCCTTTCAGAACCAAGCTTGTCGTAGGAGCTGTTTATGCCCACTGTCCCTGCCTCCTCTCCCTTACACTTGCTCTTTTTAAAAAAATTTTCACCCTAGGACATGTGTGTAGAGTTTAGAGAGAGAGAGAAAGGGAGAGAGAGGGAGAGAGAAACATTGAAGGGAGAGAAAAACATAGGTTGCTTGCCTCCTGCGTGCTCCCCGACGGGGGATGAAACCCATAACCCTTTGGTGCAGGGGACGACGCTTCAACCATCTGGCCAGGGCTCACAGTTACCCCTCACTGGGCTGTGGTCTGGCTTTCATTTCAGTCAGCTGGTGACACTGCACTTCTTCAAGCTGCCAGCGACCCCTGTGTTGGCAAATATGTTCAGGTGACATTTTTACATGATGAAAAGCAAGATGAATTTAGACCCTTTCCTCACAATGTGCACAAAAATTAACTTAAAATAGATTACAGACTTAAATATAAGAGCTAAACATAAAACTTTTAGAATGAAATACGTAAGAGAACAATTTTAAGACCGTGGATGAGGCAAAGATGTCTTAGATATGACACTAAATGCATGATAGAAAAAAATTGATAAGTTGGATCGGAGAAATTGAACACTTTTGTGCTTAAAATGACACATTTAAGAAAACAAAAAGACAAGCTCCAGATGGATAGAAAGTATTTTCAAATTATATGTCTGATAAAGATCTTGTTTCCAGAATATAGCAAAGGTAGGAACTTAGTTCTCCTGTTCACTGTTGTATCCCTTAAGCATCTGTTGCAGTGCCTGACGTCTAAAAGGTGCTTAATAAATATCTGTTGGATAAATGAATGAACACGGCGTTAATGCAGTTTGGAGAAGAACCTCCAGGAACTCAGTAAAATCTAAGGAGGAGAGAAAATAATCTGGAACATTTGTAGACTGTCTATGAAGTGCACATTACATTTGTTCCTTTTTGTACAGTTACGAAAACTGAGGCATGGAGGGGTGATTTTTTGGCTCAAGGTCAAACACTGTTAAGTGGGAGAGTACAAGCTCAGGCCTTGAGTTTCTGTTCCCTTGAGTTTCTATTTCTATCCAGTGAGATGCATTTTCCACGGTAGTTTAGGAAAGCTCTTCACTCCCGAGCCACTTATTCCTGGCTCTGGCCCCTGCCCCCTCTTCCTTCGGCAACACTGTCGGGTGTCCAGATCACTAGGCTTTTGCTCTGTTTCCCCAAACCTGCTCCCTGATATTCTAATGCCAGACCCACTTGTCTGATGCCGTGAAGAGTGCACCATGGGAAAACCCATGCTAGCCATGGAAACCAGGGCAGTGCTCTTTATATGGACTCAGTAAACTTTGTGGTGTCCAGGGAAGGCTGTGGCTGAAAGCACCCCACCCAGGGCTTACTGGGTACCAGGTGTGAGGCCCCAGCTCAGCGGCAGACTCAGCAGCGGGATGTGGAGCTGTTCGGCTCCCTCCCTCCTCGGCAGACCCAGGTGTGGAGGGGGCTGCTCTCCCCTGTGAAAAGCTGCAGGGACTTCGGCTGGGAGGAGTCAGGAGGACTGGAGCTGACCCTTCCCCACCCAGTTCTTCCCTTTGGCCAGTGCCGTTTTATGCTTTTAAAATATATTTCATTTAATTTTGAGTAAATGAACATCTGAGACAACGAGGGTTACAAAAGGACTCACCTCTTGGAAAATGGGGGGTACCAGTTAGGGCCTTGCTTTCTAGTGACAGCTTGGACTTGCTGAAACTGCTTTGCCGTCCTGGAGCAGCGGTTCTGCATCTGAGTCCCCTGGAGGGCCTGCTCAGTCTACTTGCTGGAACCGTCTCCAGAATCCCTGACTCAGTGTGTCTGAGGTAGGGCCTGGGAATCTGCATTTCCAGCAAGATCCCAGGTGCTGCTGCTGCGGCTGCCCCAGAGGCCATCCTTTGAGGACAGCTCTCATAGAGTAATCCATTTATTTACCATGCTCTTGAGTGTAAATGACCGATTTTTTTGGTCAAGTTCACCATTTTTGTAAATCCCTTCCATTGATATGCTTGTCTGTGTCTCCTTTGAACAGGTATTTTGACGTTGGACTTCACGATTTCTTAATCAGGTAAGCCCATCATTTTTATTTTCAATGTCACCGAATAGCATGTTAATGGGGAGGACGAAGATGAAAATAAAATCCTTGTTCAGCATCTTGATTAATAATGGCAGTTGTATAATTGTCGAGAAAACACCACTAGCACTGTCTTTTTGTGCTTCCCAGAATCACATGAGATTATCCTTCCTCAACAATCAAAAGAAATTTATGTTTAAAGAGGTTTCTATCTAAAGTGATAGTTACCCAAGAGCTTAGACATGCTTAATTCCAACCGCTGGGCATCTGGAAAGACAAGTAGAGCCGAGTGCCAGCTTGTGTTCATGTATTAAACAACCCATTTAACCAATCTTCCCTCCGCTGATTTAAGCTTTTTAAGCTGAATCTATTGTTTGTTTTGCAGTCATAAAGATACAACCTCTTCATAATTGAAAGAGATTACAGATGGCAGTTTATATCCTAATTTATTTGTGATTTTTACCAGAGTTGGCTTATGAAGCTTATTAATTCCAAGTAGCTATTAAATCAAACAGAGGTTAAAATGGAAATATACTAGAACATTAACAGTGTTGGTAAGAATATGCATGAGATTTTTTTCTGCTATCAACTTTGCTGTATTTTCTAGATTTTTTATATTGGGCATGTATTATTCTAACAAAGGTGAAAAATTATCATTAAAGTGCCTGTCAAAAATATGCGTGGGAAGCAATAATGGTTGCTGAAGGACTGTAAGCTGAAGATTACAAGGAAACCAGAAATCATGTAGAGTGATGAGCTTTCTGCAAACTCCTGGCTCTAGATGCAAATTAATTCTGACTGAGAGCCTGCTATTAAACCTTCTGTCAATCACATGTGATTTCTGGCAGAAGTGGTTCAGTTTTCCACATGGGACATGACCAACTCCTTATGGGGAAGGTGCTCTTGGGAGGAAATGGACATAATCAGCATCACCTTTGTCCCGAACCAACAGCATTTTCGCTGTTGTGGAGCACACGTGGTGGTGTTCTGTGAAAGGCCACGAGTGCCTTGCCCTTTCTCCAGGGCCTCATCCAGGGCTGCCCCAGGCCTAAGGACGATGGATGGTCCTGGCTTTCTCCAGGATGTCGCATGCGGATAGTGTGTACGCTGCTCACTTGGCACGTCAAGGGTAAACGCATTTTAGCAGGAGGGATAAAGGACCAGCAGCCGTGGGAAAGGCAGGCATGAGACTTCCATATCCAAACTGATCAGAAGAGCTGTCTGGGTATGTGCTTCAGGGAGACGTGTGGATTTTTGAGTTAATGGCCCTGGTGCTTTGTACTACTGCCTTGCTACTTTCACATCACTTCTTGTTGTGGATGCAAGTTTCTATTTTTCTTATTTTCTCTAGTAACTTTCTTGAGGGCAGGGGACATTACTTAGTCACCTTTCTATGATTATATTGTATAGTATCAACTTTAAACATTTGCAGTTGTAGTGAATGAATGAATGGATGAATGAAACGAGGCAAAAAAGGACAAGGAAGGTGAGGATTAAGATGAAGCTGTTCAGTCAACAAATGATTTATTCCGCAAACAATTATTATGCCTCCCCTGTGCCCCTCACTTGGGTATATTGGGGAATACCATCGTGAGAAAAGCAAACTTTGATTCAAAGCTTTCCCTGAGATTACCGCCTGCCAGGCTTGCGGTGTGTCACGTGTCATGGGGAGGAAGGGCGGTCTCCCTCTGGGACCCCTCCTGCCTTTCCTTCTTCTGGGCTCCATCCCTGTCTCGGATGTTGGTGGGGTGGGAGGCAGGGAGGAGGGAGGCCTGGTTAAGTGCCTCTTATAAGCTGGTGCTGAGATGCCCTCACCCCTTTTGGTGGATACTGGTAAGATGCTCTAACTAAATCACCTTAAAGTCACCTTAATCCGTGCTTTGTGAACCAAGCAGTGAGGGAGTAGGGCTTCTTTCTGCCCTGCCGTCTCTGCAGTTTTCTTTCCCCTAGTCTGGTAGGCACAGAGCAAATAACATGTCCCTTCATTATCCAACTGGGAAATGAGAAGGCAGTCCCCGCTTCTGCGACGAGGCCTCTTTGTCACCCCTCCCATGACAGCACTCCCCACGAATCCAAGAATTTATAGAGACCCGAAGCCCCCTTCCTCGGTCACCTGCCCAGCTCTGGAGAAGAGTGGGGGTGGGGGAGGTGGTTCCGGGAGCAGCCGGACCTCCACCTCATAGAAATCCCAGGATGGGGTTGAGGGTGCCGCCTCTTTATTTGCAGCCCTCTCTAAACAATAGCCCTTCCGGCTCCCAGTTTGGGAGGCCAAGCCTGATGGGGACTGAGCAGGGGGTGTCATTGAGCACCTTCCTGAGTACTGTCACTGGAACAGGCCCCTGAGGCCAGGTTCGGGAAGGTGGGGGCGCCAGCCAGTGGGAGGTGAGGGGCTGGACGGCAGCAGCAATTGGCGAAGAAGTTAAGCTCTGAAGGGGAGGAGAGAAAGGCCCTGCAGCTGATGGAGAGGGAGGTTTGAGTGGGGATTTCTTCCCTTTTTATATTGGAGCACCTCTTACTAGTTAGCCACCAGCAGGTCTAAAGTGTCCTTTAGACTTAGAGAAAGTGGTGTCAGTTGTCTGGAGAGAAGCAAGTGTGATTGCCAGGGGAAGGAGGAAGCAGAGGCAGTGAGTGGTGCCCTCGAAACCCCGGAGAGCAGTGGCGTGTTCTCTAAATACGTCGCTGAAGAGCAGTGCAGAGGGTTGGCAGGGCGAGGGGGAGGTACTTGAGGAATCCTTTTCACTCAGTGAAGGCCAAGAAAAGAAAATCTATTTCCCCTTGTGAAAGAGGAGATGTTGGAGAAATTAACTCCAGTTATTGGCTCCAAAAAGCTCTCAGCGTGTGCTCTGGCCTGTCAGGCTGTATGGAATGCCTAGAGTCTGGCAAAGTAGAAACAGTAGCGTGCCTGAAATGAATCAGCTGCGTCTTTACGCTGATGGAAGTGTCGCCGACTTCTCTGGAACGACATAAATTTCCGCAAAGCCAAGAGCCCTGTTTGTGATCTCAGCCTAGGCAACTGCAAGGAGGGATGTTTCCTTTAAAGCTGATGGAGAGTTTGGCTGAGCCCTGCACAGGAAGAAGCTGTCACATTTAATGAAATGTGAGCGTTTTTGGTATTTTATAATGACTGGGAAAATTCAATGCGCTGAATCCTTTTGCATCATATAGGAATCAAAGGAAAGGCTTTCAGGAAACAGTACTCACAACACACTTAAGAAACTCAGAAGAAGACTACAGGCTGGAGCCCTTAATGGGGAGCTACAAGAGAAAAAGGAAGGAAGTGACCGACCTGGGAAAAGAGGTTATAGAAGAGGAGAGCTCTGTGTCATTTGAGATAATAAGGTGGCCTGTTTAAATAGAGCTTAGTTTAGTTTGGGCAAAAATGCAAGAATGTCTCATGAGGTTTGGTTTGATTCTTGCTGACTGAGGCATTTTCCAGTTTACCTGGAACTGTAGCAGCTTCACACCTTTCATGAAGGTATATTACAATTGCTTCGATCTTGCCCATCTGCTCCCTTCTCAATTGCTCAGGTTGGAGAATCGTTTTAAGTGACACAGAATGCCATCATGGCTTTTAAAGGAAAACCTGGAGCCATCCCTGAAATACTAAACTTGTCCATTTTCCTTTTACAATTTTTCGTTGCTTATGCATTTTAAAAACTAGAAAAATATTCACTCATGTTTTCTTCTTTTCTACATTGTTTATATTTGGCTATTCAGTCCATTTCAAATACACATTTCAAATTAGCAAAATAAATTTTCTTTACCACCAATTTCCTTTTTTATTCTAAAGACATTGTGTGAGCCATCAGAGCCGCTACTTTTGTCCTAAGTAGAAGCTCTGGATACCCGCGGACCAGCAGAGGTGCTGGGCACGGCACAAGCCGCTGATAGGTTCTAGGGAGAGAGAAAAGGACCTTTCTTGAGAAGGAGCAGAGCTGGGGTAAGCCTGTCCTTCCTGTACGTTCTTAGGACTGTTGAGGCCTGTCTGGCCTCTGAGCTGATGTGGAAACAAGAGAGAAGTAGAGGAGAGAGTGGGCATTTGGCCCCGAGAGTAAGAGCCAGCTGGTGACAGGAGGGTAGTTAGCATCTGCTAGTCAGCCTGACAGCTTTGAAAAACAACAAATACATGCACGAAGCCATTGTGTGTGTTTTTGTAGATAAATATAAAAGAAAAAAAAACCATTATGTAGCTATTCTATGTATCTACATGGGCTTTGAATTTTTATTTTTTAATATAACACGGAAATCAACTTTTTTGTCTAGGTAACTAATTTTTAATAGTGGCATAAAAAGCAAACGAGCGGATTAGAAAGCTGCTCCCCTCCGAGGTGAGCCTAAATTCCGCGTCTCTGTAGTCCTGGTTAGGCACCGCCGGTGGCTTTTGGTGGCAACTGATGCGGGGACGAGGTTGTTTGTCCCTGCCTGCTGCAAACTCAGGGCATTCTTGTTTAACCTTCTTTTCCTTTCACTGTGGTACGTGAAGACCAGCAGCTAACAGTCGCTGCGGTGTCCCCGTGACAAAGGGATTTAAACAAAAAGTGAAGAGCACGTGAGGGAAGGCCCCGCAGAGGCAGCTAATGAAAAAGCAGGCAGGGTGCTGAAGAGACGCCGGTGTGCTTCCACGGGGCGTCCCCTTTCCACGGGGCTGTCCCCCTTCCACAGGGGTGTCCCCCTTCCATGCGTTGCCCCCTCTGCCCTACAACCTGCTGCACCTGCCCCCTTAGCATCTCTCATGTAGCCTTTCCCTTTCTGCTTGTGGTGAAAGGATAGGCCCCTTTGTCTTCAGCGGAGGCGTCTTGCCTCAGGAGCTATAGTGAGGTTTCATCCTAAATGTGAATCAGTCACTCTGTGCCTGGGAACAGCGGGACTCAGTAAGGGATCGTTTTGTCCCTCCCCTTCCCCACTTCGCCCCTGAAGCCAGAGGAAGGGTTTGAGTCCTGGCCTCTCCCCTTCTACCTGTGTGGCTGTAGGCAGCTCACTAACCCTTTCTGAGC